ACAAGGCAAATGAATTGGAGAAACAATTGTGGGCTTATAAATGGATTTTGAGCTTATAATTGATAACTTATGATAAAAAAATTAACTTATAATAAAAGTGTTTGATAAAATTTGTTGATAAGTCAACTAAAATAAATATTTCAACAAACTTATTTGAAAAGCTGTCCCAAAAAAGTTTATGACAACCTCGAGTTTTTCTAAAAAGTTTGTCCTACTAAACAAATTTATTTGAATAAAGAAAGTTTATAAGGTAATGCTTATCAAACACACTATTATTTATTAAACAATCTACATTATGTGCCTTGTTGACCAGTAAAAAATGGGATTTAGTGCATGTTTGTATGTAAGTTTTTATCGAAAATATCCTATCACAACTCAAATTTAACCCAACCTCACTGTTTTTTAATATTATCAATTTAGTTAAATAATCTCAATCCATCATCCTTACACATTACATGAATTTTGATTTACTTCACATAATCTTAAGTACGCACTACTTCCAATCACATCTCTCCTACTTTACATCAAATCAACTTTAACTATTTTTTTTAGAAGAAGTGGAAACACTATTGATCTTTCTTTTNAAAAAAAAAAAAAAAAAAAAAATTCTAACTCCCAATTTCATTATGAATGATGGATCCCCAATTTCATTACATAAACTATTCTTGTACAGGCCTCTGTGATGGTTTCAGTGTAGCTGTTTTTTTGTAAATAGGTTCTTGTACCTTATTGTTTTGAATATTCTAGTTACCTGAACTCATTTCTTTTGGGAAACGTATACGTTTTGCCCATTTTCTGGAGATTTCGCGTTGTACTTTCATGTATTTGAATTCGAACTTTTCGGAGGCCCAAAAGGCAAGATTGAATACAATAACACAGACGAAAGAAGATAAATGTGAGCTCCTGCATTGAATTTGAAAATCCACTGTGATGAAATAAACTTAAGTCAGTATTTTTTTTTTAAAAAAAAAAGTCATCTGCAGATCCCATTTAACAAGAAGGGCCAACACAAGAAGAAGAACAGCTTCTTCAAAATTAGCTTTTGTTTTTCTGAGAAGAACCTCAGGTGACATATATTTCATGCGCTTTTCGAGTTTGTAGTTTGATGGCACAAAAAAATCGTGCGCGTATGTATTAATCACTCATCGAACACTCAAACATGAAAAAACACTTCATATCTTAAGAAAGAAAACAACACAAACCATAGTAAAAAAGAAGACACAGTAACAACAGTAGTAGTAAGTACCAAGTAGCAGTGTACTAGTCTACAAAGGCTGAGTGGGCTGGTGAATGGTGGGCCCCTCGCAGGAAATAGCCCACCAGCTGGATGCTGCATTGGGCCCGCCGCCTGAGGGTGATGTGGCATGTAGAAACCTCCCGGTTGTTGCATGGCAGGATGAGGTGGAGTCATCTGCATTTTTAAAAAAAAAAAAAATAGAAAAAAAAAGATACATTTGGGTCAAATCGCCCGATAGGAAGTGTTAATGTGAAGTCGAGCAGAGCAATACAGTCAACTTTCGTAACTTTTTTTTTTATTTTCGTCAATTTTCAGTGTTCTAAACTATACCTGAGTAGGCATGGCAGGTGTTTGAGGCTGAGCATCGGCTATTGCTGCCAAATACATCAGATTCTTCTGAAGCTGAGCTTGATATCTGATCCGCCACAAAAAAAACGAGGACAAACCGTTTATTTATTTATTTACTCAACAATTTTCTGAGTTTCGAAAAGTAATTACAATATAATTTGGGGAAAATTGCATTTTTAGTCCTGTTGGTTTAATGTCGTAGCATTTTTAGTCCCATGATTAATTTTGTCTTTTGATCCTGTAATTTAGTATTTTGCTGCAATATCAGTCCTTTGGGACTGAAATTACAGCAAAACTGTAATTTACATAACTTAAATTGTGCTAATAAAAAATACATTTTTTATTAGCACAAAAAATACATTTTTTGTGCTAATAAAAAATTTAAATTTACATGACTTAAATTGTGCTAATAAAAAAAAATGTATTTTTTATTAGCACAATTTAAGTCCTGTAAATTTAAGTTTTGTTGTAATTTCAATCCCAAAGGACTGAAATTGCGTTGAATTTTAAAATTATAGGACCAAGTAGCAAAATGTTCAATTCTTAGGACTAAAAAAGTCAGGACTAAAATTGCAATTTTGCCTATAATTTGTCAGTCACCCAAGATACAAGTCAGTTAATTAGATCATTCCCCGATGAGAAAAATAACAGGAAATGGTTAAATATCTTATCAACTTATGCCTCAACGTAGTTTTTCAACGGCTTTAATAATTAAACTGCATATAGGTCGGCTAAAAGTACCACTTGATTATCATTTCATACAAGCGAGAGAATTACTTACTGTGCACATTCGGCAAGTTTTCCAAGATTCTGGTTGTCCAAAATTGCCAATATCAGTTTCTTGTTCTCATCAAGGTACTGTAAATGATAACAAAAAAGGTCGCATATCATAATGACAATCGTTATGGAAATCCAACAGTGAGAAATGACATTCAATAACGTAATTTGTAATGGTAACTCTGTCGAAATTTTAAGTAAATAGTTAAGTACTAATAGATATTTCAGATTTATTCAGTTAAGAGAAGAAGAAAAGAAAAAGGAAAAAGACGCCATCAATGTTCATGATAGCTGTTGATAAATTCACTTTTTTGCATGATTATCAATCCAAATTCAGATCCAACACAAGATGGTTCGGAGGAGTCAGATTGCAAGCACACACAAAAATTGGTAATAAAAACTCATTTCAACGTTAAAAAGGTTAAATATTACTTGCTGTGGCTCCTTGGTTAGCTTTGCTTGGATACAAATTTATCCAAAAAAATTCAATCACTTTTAACCAATCACTCATTTTAACTCAAATCTAACTCAACTTTAACTCAACCTCACTATCCTCAATATTAACAACATAATTAAATAATATCACTCAATCATTCTTTACACATTACATCAATCTTAATTCACAATTCATCCACTTATATAATTTTAACTAACCAGTACTTCACATCATCTCTCTCCTACTTTTACATCAAATCAAATTTAATTATTTTATTTTAAATATTAGTTTAATATAAACTCAAAATCCCAATAACAAATAAAAATACGACTTTTTTTCAAAATTAACCATATCAAACCAAAAAATCCAAACAAAATCAAAATATTTTATAACCAAGCATCCCCGCATCTTCTAGTTACAGAGTCATTATATAATTCTAAACGAAATAAAAAATTAAAATTCCATCATCCGTTTTCATTTGGTATTATAAAGTTCATATCAGTAAACCAAGAGTCTATTCACAAATATATCTGTCATTGTCGTCATTCAATTTAGTAAAACACGACCTCTTTGGATATATTCTGCATTCACAACTATATATATCTTAGCTACTATGTTCTAAAGTTTTAGTAGATCAAAACTTAGTTTAGTATATGCATGTTACCCATGTTCTGCAAAATGTAAATACATGCACACATAAAAAAAGGCATATTTATGGGAAATTGTTTCATATTGCGATCCGTTGAGAAAATAATAATCTTTTCATCCATTGTAGGAAAAGTAAACTTTGGGAGGAGGATTTCCTAATGTGAGCTTTAATTTAATAACTATTACACTTTAAAGATTCTATTTTGTAGATAACAATGTAAAATTAGACGACGAAAAAAAGGAGTTTGATGCTTAACTACTCAATTTAAAGAAAACAAACAAACTTTGTGGAACAATAAAAATAGTAACCATGCCGTGAGGGAGGAAGTATAATTTTTGTTTTCATATAATTGTGTATATTCCACAAAGTGGGTTCAAAGGGATATAAATCCATTCAATGATTTGCTAGCAAGCTTATTAATTTAAAGACCAATTCAAACAAAGTTATTAATTATATTACTCACAGCTTATCCAACCCAAGCATGAAAAGAGTTGCTCTTAAAATTAAACTAAAAAAAACACATGAAAGAGGGAATATTTGGCTTAATTTTTTACCTTTTGTTAGAGGATTAATCCATTTAGGACATGGTTAGGTTTGACATTAGTGATTAAAATGCTAAGAATAAAAGATCATGGACCAACTTCCACACCTTGTAGATATTACATAAACACAATCATATTTTGTAATTCCTGAACACATTCAGGAATAGATTAGTGGTGTTGCCTTCAGTCAAAAGCTTACCTTCGATCACATTTTATTCAGCATATTCTTCTTAATCAATAAATGTAACCTGGAGGCCTTACACAAGATTCAAGGAGAGACCCAGATATTTCGTGTATCATGCATTACATGTTATATCAGTTTTAGCCTTTGAAGATGCAAAATCACTTTATGAAAGTTTTATAATTAGTACTTTTAACATATCTCAGTAGATAAATGACTACTTCATTCAATCTTATCTTGTAACTTCTATGACTGCATTTGGAAGTGAGTAACTTTAAATTTTAATTAAAAAAAAAAAAAATTCAGATGTAAATAACATTATATAAAAATTGCATGCGATAGGAGAAGAATATAAACTTATAATATAGTTTAATACACCTAACCGAGTATCAATATCTTCTATTTCCACTCCTTTTAATGCCTTTTATTCTGAAATTAAATTACAACCACCAATCCAGGAATATGTATAAAAACTTAAAATACACTCTTACGATAAGAATAGTATTTTTTTTTTCAATTCAATATCATCAAGGGTTGTAAAGGGCTTCATATAGAAAAGCAAACACATTAAAAATGCAATGAACCTAATTGGTGGTACCAGTAAGAAACAATAAATCTACTTTAAGCTTTAACTTTATGTTTTTAGTTATGGGGCTAATTATACACATAATACAGAAATAAACACTTAGAGGCCTTCATTAACAATCTAGCCCTATGAAAACAGCTTTAAGAAGCAGCCACAATTTGTTACTAAATCATATAGAGTGCACTTAAACCAAAGTAACGACAAAAAATTGTCACTATCCATAAATGGACGTCTAATGTGATTCCGTCAAATTTACTTACTACTCATTGAAAAAATTCATTTAATCAGAAATTAACAGCACTTTCTTGCCACAATTGTCACAATGCTCAAAGGCTTAGGGGATTTTATGTTCTAAAAATTGCTCTAAAGAACGAAAACAATTAGTTGTCCAATAGAGTAGAGAAATAATCATCACGGACCACAAAAGATCTATCCTTTACATAATTGATAGTCACTCGAGCACACAAAATTCACATCTTATACATATTAACTCCAGATCTCTTCACGATTTGCCCTTGCCAGTCACACCCCACAAATATTATTACTCGTTTATCAATTCTGATCAATTTCTACCTATGGCAAGTAACCAAATCATCTGGCCAAAGAGTATATGTCCTTCTTAAACACATTCAATAGTACTACCGATTTTCGAAAAGGAAACCCATGCATTTGCATGCAGTTGCAGCAACTAACACATACAACCTCAACACAACAACAGCACATAATCTATCAGTTAAAATTAAAATGCAAATTTCTATCTAAAGAGGGGACGTAATTGGTATAAAAAACCCTCACTTCCAAATTTCCATAAAAATATGAGGAGAGAACACTGGAACTCTACACCACAGTCAGCAAAATCCAAAAGTAGTCTAATGTCAGCCAAACACTGCCTTAATCAAATTCAGACAATAGCCTCAAAAAACAAAATTGAGTGAAGACAAAAACCTTCTGAATCTGCTCAGTGGTGATGTTGGTCGGAGGGAACGAGGGCATAACCGGAAACATCGGCCCTGGTTGCTGCATATTTACTACTTTCCTGCTTCAATAAAAATCGAACCTTTACATGTTATTATCAACCAAGATGGGTCTCTCTCCGAAAAGGGGAAAAAAACCCTAAGCCCACAAATCAACAACCGAAAAAAAAATCAAATCTTTAACATATAAACAAAAATCATCAAGATAGATAACAAAAGCCAGCGTTTTCCATGAAAATTAACTGAAACAGAGAAAAACGAACATATCATTTCCTGTAATTTACCTCGACTGAAAGTGGGTTTTGGCAACTGGGGTGAGTGTTGTATTATCAAGAAACCAATATTTGAAATTTTGATGAAAATAAAAATGAGGGTGATTAATTTGGAAGTAAGCTGAATGAGTGTGAGCTCAGAAATGGAATTTTTTTATTTATTAGTGCAAGTAAATGATTTTGTCCTTCTTGGCCGGTAATAAATTAAGTAAAATTAATAACAGGATCTTTGAGAATAAAGAAGATAGAACAAATAGTTACTTACACTGATTG